CTGTGCTAGGTGAATGAAAATAGGAACCCTGCCCTCAAGGGGCTCTCTGCCAAGACAAATACAAATATAAAACAAGTAAGAACAGGAAAGTGCCATGTGAGGAGTACAATCCACATGGGACAGACATTTAGTGAAAGGAGAGGTGCCTTCATCTCAGGAGATTAGAGAAGATTACAGGTTACGGGGGAGGCCAATCATCTTTTCATCTCTGTACTTTATTAAACTAAAACATTACTCATGTTACCACCTTAACCGAGTGATCACGCTTGGCATCTCTACTAGTGGAACAGGCTGATACTATGGGTCTCTAGATGAGCTGCATATGAAGTACACGGCATCAGCTCTCAAAGTATTCATTCCTCTTTCGCCTTCCTGTAATCCATGATCACCTGTCAAAATCCTACCCATCTACCCAACAACTCCACTTCTAAGAATCTAGCTTACAGAAATAACTAACAGTACAGAAAAAAAAATTATGTACAAAGATGTTTATTGCAGAATTACATATAATAGCAAAATCTTCAAAACAACTTAAATGTTCCACAGTAAAAATTAAGTACTCCATGGACTAATATGCAACCATTAAAAATTATGTTTATAGAGAATACGTAACAACACGAAAAAAGGTTATTATATGTGATTGGGTGAAAAGACCATGCTATATAAACTAAATAATTATGTAACTATTAAAAAAGATCTATGTTAAAAATAAAGACTGATGGAGTTATTAAAAAAAACTGAGTTAGCTGACTTTCGGTAGTAGAATTATTACTATTTTATTCTTCCTTCTAACCTTCTATGTCCTCCAATTCTTCCTTAAAAGAATGTATACAGGCATGCCTCGGAGATACTGCAGGTTCGGTTCCAGACCACCATGATAAAGCTAGTAACACAATAAAGTGAGTTGCATGCATTTTTTTGTTTCCCAGTACATACAAAAGTTATGTTTACACTATACTGCAGTCTATTAGGAGCCCTCGTGGCACACTGGTTAAGAGCTCAGTTGCTAACCAAAAGGTTAGCACTTCAAATCCATCGGCAGCTCCCTGGAAACTCTACAGGAGGCAGTTCTACTCCATCCTATAGGGTCAGTACGAGTTGGAATCGATTCAATGGCAGTGGGTTTGGTTTTCTTTCTTCTTCTTTTTTTTGGTAGTCTATTAAGTGTGCAAGAGCATGATATCTAAAAAAAATGTACATACCTTAATTATAAAATACTTTATTGCTAAAAAATACTAACCATCATCTGAGCCTTCAGCGAGTCATTATCTTTTTAATAGTTGAGGGTCTTGCCTCGAAGTTGACGGCTGCTGACCGATCAGGGTGGTGGCTGCTGGAGGCTAGGCTGACTGTGGCAATTTCTTAAAACAAAACAATGAAGTTTGCTGCATCGACTGACTCTTCCTTTCACGAAAGACTTCTCTGTAGCACGCGTTGCTGTTTGACAGCCTTTTACCCACAGGAGAACTTCTTTCAAAATTGGAGTCAATCCTCTCAAACCCTGCCGCTGCTTTATCAACTGAGTTTATGTAATATTCTAAATACTTTGTTGTCATTTCAGTAATGTTCTCAGCATCTTCACCAGGAGTAGATTCCATCTCAAGAAACCACTTTCTTTGCTCATCCATAAAAAGCAACTCCTCACCCGTTAAAGTTTTATCATGAGATTGCAGCAATTCAGTCACATCTTCAGGCTCCACTTCTAGTTCACTTGCCATTTCCACCATATCTGCAGTTACTTCCTCCACTAAGGTCTTGAACCCCTCAAAGTCATCCATGAGGGCTGGAATCAACTTCTTCCAAACTCCTTTTTATGTTTGTTTTTTTGCCTCCTTCTTTGAATCATGAATGTTCTTAATGGCATCTAGAATGGTGAATCCCTTCCAGAAGGTTTTCAGTTTACTTTGCCCAGATCCATCAGAGGAAATCACAATCTATGGCAGCTATAGCCTTATGAAATGTATTTCCTAAATAATAAGATTTGAAAGTCAAAATTACTCGTTGATCCTTGGGCTGCAGAATGGATGTTGTGTTAGCAGGCATGAAAACATTAATCTCCTTGTACAGCTCCATCAGAGCTCTTGGGTGACCAGGTGCATTGTCAATGAGCAGTAATATTTTGAAAGGAATCTTTTTTTCTGAGCAGTAGGTCTCAACAGTGGGCTTAAAATATTCAGTAAACCACACTGTAAACAGATATGCTGTCATCCAGGCTTTGCTGTTCCATTTACAGAGCACAAGCAGAGTAGATTTAGCGTAGTTCTTAAGGGCCCTAGGATTTTTGGAATGGTAAATAAGCATTGGCTTCAACGTCACCAGCTGCGTTAGCCGTAACAAGAGAGTCAGCCTGTCCTTTGAAGCTTTGAGGCCGGGCGTTGGCTTCTCTCTAGCTATCAAAGTCCTAGATGGCATCTTCTTTCATTATAAGGCCATTTCATCTACATTGAAAACCTGTTGTTTAGTGCAGCCACCTTCATCCGTTATCTTAGCTGGATCTCCTGGATAGCTTGTTGCCCCTTCTCCATCAGCACTTGCTGCTTCACCGTGCACTTCCATGTTGTGGAGACGGCTTCTTTCCTTAAACCTCATGAACCCACCTCTGCCAGCGTCACACGTTTCTTCTGCAGCTTCCTCGCCTCTCTCAGCCTTCACAGAGTTGAGGAGAGTTAGGGCCTTGCTCTGGATTCGGCTTTGGCTTAAGGGAATGTTGTGGCTGGTCTGATCTTCTATCCAGACCACTAAAACTTTCTCCGTATCAGTAACAAGGTTGTTGCGCTTTCTTATCATTAGAGTGTCCACTGGAATAGCATTGCTAATTTCCTTCACGAACTTTTCCTTTGCTTTCACAACTTGGCTGTTTGGCGTAAGAGGCCTAAGCTTTCAACCTGTCTCGGCTTTGGACATGCCTTCCTCACTAAGCTTAATCATCTCTAGCTTTTGATTTAAACTGAGAGATGTAGGACTCTTCCTTTCCTTTGAACACTTAGAGGCCATAGTAGGGTTATTAACTGGCCTAGTTTCAAAACTGTCTTGTCTCAGATAGAGAGGCTGGAGGAGAGATGGAGACAGATGGGAGAACGGCTGGTCGGTGGAGCAGTCAGAACACACACATTTATCAATTAAGTTCACCGTCTTATATGGGCATGGTTTGTGGCACCCCAAAACAATTACAACAGTAACATCAAAGATCACTGATCACAGATCACCGATATAATAATAATGAAAAAGTCTGTAATATTGGGAGAATCCCAGAATGTAACAGAGATATGAAGTGAGCACATGCTGTTGGAAAAATGGTGCCAACGGACTTGCTCGATGCAGCATTGCCAGAAACCTTCAATTTGTAAAAAACGCAGTATCTGCAAAGCGTAATAAACCTGTATTGCTTCTTTCAATAATTTTTCTGGTTACCAATAATACATGCTCTTTTCAGAAAAAATGAAAAAAAAAAATAAGTCATCCATAATCCCATCAGCCAAAAATTTGATGAGTATTCTTTCGGGTTTTGCTATGCACGTTATACATAATTGTTTCTGACGGAAGCAGAATATTGTATATAATGTAACCTCTTCTCTCTTAACATTGTGAACATTTTTCTGTACTGATATTTTTCTACAGTGTCACTTCTACTATCTGTATAGTATTCCATTTAGAAATTATACTGTAACTTATTCAACCAATTCCCTACTTTCAATATTTATATTGTTTGTAATAGTTTGCTATTATAAATAATCATAATAGTGTTTGAGAGAGCTGATTCTAAAGCTAAACCTCCAAGGTTTATATCCTAGAACCGTCACTTACTAACTCCGGAACCTTGGGTGAGTTACTTTTTCACCCTATGCCTCAGTAAATGAATTAAAATGTGTAAAGCTCCTAGACATGTAGCAGGCATTAATATATTACTCATGTTACCACTTTAATCCAGGGATCATTCTTGGCAATATTATTAATGGGGGGGGGGATAAAAGATTGGCTATAATACCAACATATAATCAGAAAAGAAGTGAATAAAATACTACCCATTCTTCTAGGCCTTTCTAAAGCAACCTCCTTTCGGAAGTTTTTTCTAATCTTTAACAATCAAATGTGATATTTCGATACTCTGAAATACACGGCACTGTATCTGTTCCTCTTTTTAAAAACTTGGCCTGTTGTATCTTCCATTACATTTATGTGTATAATGATTATTCCTGTCAGAACATAAGCAACTTAAAGACGGAAACTGTGTCTTCCTTCTATCTTTTATGGGTTGACTTGTGTCCCCCAAAAAAGATAGGTTCACGTCCTAACCCCCAGTACCTGTGAACGTGACCTTATTTGGAAATAGTGTCTCTGCAAATGCCATTAGTTAACGTGAGGTCATACTGAAGTCGCGTGAGCTCTGATCTCATATGACTAATGTCCTTATTAAAAGAGGAAAAAAATAGAGATAGACAAACAGGGAGAACACCACCTACAGAGCAAAGCTGAGATGAGAGCAATGTAGCTATTAAGTCAAGGAATGCTGAGATTGTCAGCCATCACCAGCAGTTAGGAGAGAGGCACGGAACATTCTCCCTCAGAGGCCTTAGAAGGAGTTAACAGGGCCGACACCCTGGTTCTGGACAGCCAGCCTCGAGAACTGTGAGAGAAATTTCTGTTGTTTTAAGCCTCCCAGTTTGTGGTAGTTTGTTATGGCAGCCCTAGGAAACTAATACAGTATCCTTCTAGCTATCAGCACAACGCGTTAGGCTAAATAGGTATTTGATACTTTTGGAACTAAACGGACTCTGCATTCAAGACCAAGAAACATATCAATAACGCAGAGAAGAAATATTGTAGATTTTAGTATTCTACAAATTGAGAAAAGAAGAAACGTACCAAAATGGTTTTGAGAATGCAGACACAAAGCTTAATGAAAGCAGCAAACAGTTTCCTCAGCAAAAGTGAAATTTCTGGGCTTAGCCACAGTCCTTTACCCTGCAGAGATCTTTGGTTAAAAAAAAACAAAACAAAAAAACTACTTATGAGAAACTTAGATTAAAAATATCAATTTTACATAAGGTCACATCCAAGGACTAGACAGAGTCATATGACAGCAGTATCGTTAGGTAACCAGCTGAAGTACAGGGTAAGGAATAGCCAAGTATGTTCAGCAACTAACTAAATCAGGTTGGTTTACAGGAGAGACAATCTTGATAGTCTATGCCCAAGCTCACCCTGGTCGCCGCTTAATAGCCCTCTGGACAATGACCCCTCCACCTTGAATCCCAGGCCCAGAGTTTCCAGAGGCAATGGCTGGTCCCAGCGATGGTACATCTGATGTCATTTCTGTCAGAGAAAACAGGAAATACACATTTAAAAAAAAAGGTCCTTGCTTATCACCACAACATCAAGTTTGCTGGAAGAAAGGCTCAAGCTATAGGTAAAATCTAAGTTGTTTGCTAGAAAATCCAAATGCTCATATCCAGGTTTCTCTTCTTGAATTCTTACATTGATCAAAGATTTTCCCTTACTTCAGTGCCCACCATTTCACAGAGTTTGGAAAAGAGAGTCCTATATCATATAACTTCCACATTTAAAAGCTTTTTTTTTTTTTATTGTACTTTAGATGAAGGTTTGTAGAACAAACTAGCTTCTCATTAACCAGTTAGTATATGTATTGTTTTATGACATTGGTTAACAACCCCATCACATCTCAACACTCTCCCTTCTCGACCTTGGGTTCCTTACTACCAGTTTTCCTGTCCCCTCCTGCCTTCTAGTCCTTGTCCCTGGGCTGGTGTGCCCCTTTAGTCTCATTCTGTTTTATGGGCCTGTCTAATCTTTGGCTGAAGGGTGAACCTCAGGAGTGACTTCATTACTGAGCTAAAAGGGAGTCTGGGGGCCATACTCTCGGGGTTTTTCCAGTCTCTGTCAGGCCAGTTATTCTGGTCTTTTTTTGTAAGTTAGAATTTTGTTCTACATTTTTCTCCAGCTCTGTCCGGGACCCTCTATTGTGACCCTGTCAGAGCTGTTGGTGGTGGTAGCCGGGCACC